GGCAGGAATCCAAATCAAAGTAGATCTGACAGGTGTTTGCCTCAGTTTCTCTTGAAGGTCTCCAGTGCTGGAACACTCACCACCTCCTGAGGTCATGGGTTCTATTGTCATACTGCTCCAACAGTTAGGAAGTTTTTCCTCCTGTTCCACCAAAACCTGTAACTCAAGTGCATTCTTATGTGTCCTGCACTCTGGGAAGATTGAGAACAGATCCTGGCACTCCTCTGTAGGGACAGCCTTTCAAGGATTTGTCGAGTGCTGTCCTATGTTTTTAAACCAAGCTATGGTGGATTAAGTCAGTCTCAGTATCGCACACAGCTTCCTATGTTCCATTCTTCCTAGTACTAGATTATGATTTCCTAAAATCCCTTACCTCTCAATTAATCTAAAGTTGTAGAGTTGTATTCAACTGTTCTTAACCAAAGCATTGAAGATGCTAAGTCCGTCCTCAGGGTCAAAGGAAGAGAGAGCATGAAAGATGATGTCTCAGTGGCCCGTACAAGCCTTCTGTTCTGTTTCCTTTTTCTTCTTCCTCAGGACGGCTACGTCTTCCGCGTCCAAGTAGCCTACCACCGAGAGCCCCAGATCCTGAAGGAGGTGGTCACCCCGGAAGGCATGCTGAAATATCGGGACACTCCGGAATCCCAGCAGCTGGAACTGGAGACGATCCATTTGCCCTTCCTGACCAGCTCTCTCCACGGGTGAGGGAGAGTTCTCCTAGGCGGGCAGGGGCTGAGGCGTTGCGGAGCTTGGAAATGTCACTTTTTTTTGGACTACAACTCCCAGAATGCCCCAACCGATAGGGCCCCTGGGAACTGTAGTCCAAAAACATTTAGTTTTTTTTTAAATTTTCTTCACACATTGGTTCCATCATCCTGAGATATATGTTCAGAGAAGCTCCCCTGGCAGCTGTCTGGAGAGAAATGAAGTTCCAGATGAAAGGAAGTCAGTTTGGGGCCATTGGGAGGAGAATCTCCTATTTGCTTGGAACGGTGCACCTTTATAGCCGTCAGGGCCACCTGGCTAGCTCTGGCCTGTTAGTCCAAGGAAATTCCCTCTGGGGACGTGGCTGGTCTCTTTCTTGTCCCACCGTTGGGCAAGAATTGAGTGAGGATCCGTGGCCTAGATCCACCCCCCGTTGTAGGAGCTTTGTGGCACAGAGGTTCAACTGCAGTACTGCAGCCAAAACTCTGCCCACAACCTGAGTTCCACTCCAGGTACCTGGCTTGAGGTTCACTCGGGCTTCCATCCTTCTGAGGCCAGTAAATTGAGTGCCCAGCTCACAGGGGGCAGGAGCGTGGGATAGCCTGCATATTTGAATTGTAAACCACCCAGAGAGTGCTTTTAAGGCAGCGGTCCCCAACCCTTTTGGGACCGTGGACCGGTTGAGCCTCTGAGGGAGGCGGGGCACCACCCCCGCACGCATGTGCAGGAGCACGGGTGTGAAGGGGTGGGGGAGCGCTCACCCTGACACTGGCACATGTGTGTGTGCGCAAAGCAGCTGTGGGGAGCAGATTGCATGTGGGGCGGGGCGGGAAGTCTGTCTTTGCGGCCTGGTCTGGCTCAGGCCACGGACCGGCACCGGGTCGTGGACCGGGGGTTGATGACCTCTGTCTTAGAAGATGCTGTGCTCAGTTGCTGTCTTGTTATGCCATGCCGGGGGTTGACGACCTCTGCTTTAAGGGCTGTGGGGTGATGTAGAAGTAGCACATTTTGCTGTGCTTCTGTTCCTTGTGGCCCCTCAAGGGACCTGTTTTTTTGTTATTCTTTTTGAAAGACCAATTTCTTGCAGCTTTTGGTGTTTTTAAAGTCCAGGCCTCCCCGTTTCTCAGAGCCCTTCCTCCTCCTCCTCCCTGTGTAGCTTCCAGTCCCCGTCCTCTCTTGGCTCCGGAGGCCGACTTCCCTTTTTGGCCTTTGCGGTGGGACACAAATTGGCCGTAGAGCCAGCATGGAGTGGGGTGGTTTGAACCCTGACAACTCACAGGGCGGACGTTGACCCATTCGCTATGTCAGCTTGGCCTGCCTCACAGGGTGGGTGTAAGAATAAAACGGGGAAGGAGAAAGTGGCAGAGGCCACATTGACCCCCGCTGAAGGATAGGGGGATTTAAACACAAGCCAGTAAGTTAAAATAAAATGGGCAAAAATATATAGCAATTCACTCCCCTCCCCCCAAAATTCGGAACCTCCCTGACTCCAAGGCAAGATTGTCTCACACAACAGAGGTCTCTTTCTCTGAGAAGTAGGGCAGGAATGGGCAAATTCTAGGGGGGGGGACAGTCCCTGGGCCAGTGCCTCTTCCTTCCGAAGGTGGCGCAGGGGTTTGCAGGGTAGGAAGGGCTCACGAGCTTCTCAAATGGCCTTTGTGGGCTGCCCACGGACGAGATGATTCTCACCGGGCGTTTTTGCTGCAAGGAACGGGGGGCTCAACCGGTTTGCTTCCCCCCCCTCACTTCCAGCCTGCAGCAGCAACATCCAGCTTTCAGCGGCACCTCCCGCCTCGCCAAACGCTGGATCAGTGCCCAGATGCTGAGCAACGGCCTCTCAGAGGAGTGCGTGGACCTGTTGGCGGCGTTCCTCTTCCTGTGCCCAGCGCCCTTCACGGCACCCAGGTGAGGGGGTGTGAGATGGGCACTGGGTTTTTTTTTTGGTTCGTGTGTTTTACGAACGCCTTGTGCTTCGGTCTTGGCCAGAACAAACCGCGTCTTCTGTCTCTAGGGAGCGGTTGGGATGTCATCCCCTCTCTCTTGTGGTCCATCCCCAAATGAGGGAACCTATTAATATTCCCTAAATAAGGTGTGCTTTTCTGGATTAGGCCAAGAGGACTCGCGTCCTGTGCCCCGTCTACAGCGGGGGCCATAAGCAAGAAGAGGAAAATGTAGTCAGGGGTTGTCTGCAGTCTTCGGCTCTCCAAGGGATGCCAACACCTGTAGATACCAAACAAGGTTTATGGGTCTTGTAGTCTACAGTTAGAAGTCCCTAGGTTAGGGAAATACAAGGTAAAGATAACTTTGAACCCAGGAAGGGCAAAGTATGGCCCTGCGAAACCTCAGTCCCCCAATTATTATTATTTTGTCCAAAAAGGGTGTTTTGCACCTTTCAGAAGGCATGGAGAGCAATCTCACTGTATTTTCAGCCTCTCCCCTCCCTGGGTCTGAGAAGCTGAGAGGTAGAGAATCCACCAAGGTACAGTGGTGCCTCGCTTAGCGAGTGCCTCGCTATGCGATGAATTCGCATAGCGAGGGGGTCCGGGCCATCGCTGGAGCATTCGCTCAGCGATGGCCCCTATGGCGATTTTTCGCTTTGCGATGATCGCTAAGCGATTCGCTTAGCGATCTTCGCAAAACGAAGCGGGGGAGAACAGCTGATCGGCGGTTCCAAAATGGCCGCCGGAAGGTCCGCGCCGCATTTTCGCGCCCTGCCCTCGCTTACCGAGGGCGCGAAAATGGCGGCGCTATGGGACAACATCGCTTAACGGTGAGTTTTCAAGCCATAGGAACGCATTGAACGAAGTTCAATGCGTTTCTATGGCTTTTTTAATTCCGTTTAGCGATGTTTTCGCATAGCGAAGGTTAATCCGGAACGGATTAACCTCGCTATGCGAGGCACCACTGTAATTCCCCACCCCATCCCCCGAGAACATTGGATGGAAAGCTCTTTAATCTCTCTAGATTGAGAGCAAAGACCAAAGTCCAGCTGAAATGACTTCCTCTTTGCCGATGATTCAGCTGTTGTTGCCCACTCTGCTGAAGACCTCCAACAACTCATGATTCGTTTTAGTAAGGCCTGCCAAAATTTTGGATTAACAGTCAGCCTGAAGAAAACACAAGTCATGGGCCAGGGCGTGGACTCACCTCCCTCCATTAACATCTCTACACAAGAGAGGTAAACGCATTGGCAAAGCAGCCACCATGTTCTCTAGACTCACAAAGAGAGTACGGCTTAATAAGAAGCTGATGGCATGTACCAAGTTCCAGGTCTATAGAGCCTGTGTCCTGAATACACTCCTGTACTGCTGTGAGTCCTGGACCCTTTGTGCACGGCAGGAGAGGAAGCTGAACACTTTCGATATGTGTTTCCTCCAACGCATTTTTGGCATCACCTGGCAGGACAAAGTTCCAAATAGAGTAGATCTGGAATGAGCTGGAATTTTTAGCATGAATACATTACTGAAACAGCAATGTCTACATTGGCTCCAGCATGTCATGAGAATGGCTGATGGTCGGATTTCAAAAGATCTCCTGTATGGAGAATTAGTGCAGGGAAATTGCCCCAGAGGGAGATCTGAAGGCCTTAGGAATGGACCTCCACAGATGGGAAACCCTGACCTCTGAGCAGGCGGTGCATCACGGCCTCTCCCAATTTGAAGAGACCCTTGTCCAGCAGGCTGAGGCAAAGAGGAAGTCACAAAAGCAGCAAAACCAGGGAGCTGGACAGGGGACAGATTGGATTTGTCTTCAATGTGGAAGAGATTGTCACCCTCAAATTGGCCTCCTCAGCCACACTAGATGCTGTTCCAAGTCCTCCATACAGAGCATGTGACCGTATTCTCTCGAGGCTGAAGGATGCCTATAGAGAGAACATGTTGGACCTTTGTAAGTTAAAAACAAGTATCTGATTAGGGGTCTTTGGGATGGTGCTTTAGTCTAGTCCTGAACAGGCACATTTTGACAACTCACCCCAATTGTGATCCATTGTCCTTTTGTTGCTGTTGTTTCCAACCCAATAGTGGCTGTAACAGAGTTTTTGAGGTGTGTGAGAGGTTCAGGAAAGTGTCCCATCCTTGTCACTCACGCACCCCGGTGTGTCTCCATGGCCGGGCTGGGATTTAAAGCCATTATTTCTTGGGTCCTCGTTGGACAATGTCCACTGCACCACACAGGTTCTCGAGTCCTCCTTCGGCTGGACAATAAACCAACGGGTTAAATTAAATGGAGCATCTCTCTCTGGTTTGAGATTACCCGGCACCTTTGGTGGCTTTTTTGTTTCTCTTTTAAGTAGACCCAAGGCGGTTTCCATCGTTCAGAGCACAATGTTTCAAAGCTAAGAAACATGAAGTCTGCAAATAGTGAAAAGGGTCAAACAAACACCACAGTGAAAGACAGTAAGGAAAACCAGCAGCAAAAAGGCATTCAAAGCCTGAATGCACAAGGTCCATATTAAAAAAAAAACCCGCTCAGGCAGCTATTCATTAAAAACTGTTTGAAGAAAAAGGTTTTTGCCTGCTTGCAGGAGGAGAGACTGGATTGCAGTGGGAGGGAGTTCCAAAGTCTCTGGGGAGTAGATGCAGAGAAGGCCCTCTCCTGTGTCCCCACCAAAGGGACCTGTGAAGGTGGCGCGACCGAGAGTAAGGCCTCTAATGACGATCTTGAGATCGTTTGGGGTCAAGCTGTTTATGGCTTTATAGGTTAGAACCTTCACTTTGAATTCTGCCCGGAAACGGATGGGCAGCTAGGGGAGCGGCTGCAGCAGGGGGATTCATATGTTCCCTCTAACCAGCGCCCGTGTGGTGTTGCGTGTCTTCTCCTTTGCTCTCCTTCTTATGCTCTATTTCCTTCTCAAAGTTCTCCCCAGGTGGGCTTCCTGCGCTTCCTCCACCTGATGGTCTCCTTTGACTGGAAGAACACCCCCCTCGTCGTGAATTTGAACGCCGAGCTCAAAGGTGAGGTTGTGCGCCAAGCAATGTTCTGCCTCCCTTTTCGCGTGGGCGGGTTTTGAATTGTTTGTGAGTTTTCAGGCTCGGGAAGGGGGGGGAGAAGTCCTTTTTCCTCGGCGTCTCCTTGTGGAGACTTGCCTCCAACAGAACAGAACAGAAACAAAAGGGGGAAAAGCAGCTTTACGGCTTGATGGATCAAGGTTTCCGGGATTCTTCCACCTTCTTGCTCAGGAATTCGGTTACCTGAACTTTTGCTCAGAGCAGAGCCCAGGTGGGTGTTAATCCTTTTGGACCGTGACTGCTCCTTTTGTTTTTAAAGAACACCCAATTTTGCCCTGTTAAAATGACTGTAAGTATGGATCGTCTTTTTCTTTTTCTTCTGTTCTGGGAGGTAAGCCGGTGCTTGCTTTTTTTATTGTACTCATTTATCCGACTAATGCCTCTTCCTCCTTCCAGGAATCAGACTAAAGGCAACTCACATACAAATTAAAACAGATAATTAAAAATACCGTGGTGCCTCGCTTAACGATTGCCTCATTAAATGACGAAACCGCTATACAATAACTGTTTTGCGATCGCTTTTGCGATTGCAAAATGATGTTTTAATAGGCAAAATCCGCTTTGCAAAGATTGGTTCCCTGCTTCGCAAACCGATTCTTCACATTATGACGTTTTGCTGATCGGGGGCTTCAAAATAGGTGCCCGCTGTGTAAAATGGCTCCCCGCTGTGTTTTTGGATGGATTCCTCGCTATATAGGCACCGAAAATGGCTGCCCCTATGGAGGATCTTGGCTGGACGGTGAGTTTTTCAGCCCATTGGAATGCATTGAACGGGTTTTCAATGCGTCTCAATGGGATTTTTTATTTTGCTTAACGAGGATTTCGCTCTACAGTGATTTCGCTGGAACGGATTATCCTTGTTAAGCGAGGCACCACTGTAGCTACAGGTACGTGTAAGTATTCATAGGAAGAGCAAAGGGAGAAGAAGGGAATCCTGGCATTATGTACATGAGGCTGGGATAGGCGTTGCATTTTTATTTTGTTGTTGAGTGCTGTCAGGTTGCTTCCAACTTAGGGTGATCCTATGTCTCCTGAAGGTCATATCATTAATAGCCCTGCTGAGGTCTCGCAGATATAAGGCCGTGGCTTCCTTTATATAAAGTCAATCCATCTCATGTCCGGTCTTCTGCTGCCTTGCGCTTTCTGAGGCATCCTTGTCTTTCCTAGCTAAACTTGTCTTCTCACGAGAAGGCCTTAACGTTTCCTACCTCCACTCTTTTCTTAGTTCAAAATTGGGTTTCCACCTTCTCCCTGCAGATGGTGCTTGTCCCACGAGGACAGTTTCCCACCTCGAAACTGGTGTAGGAGACAGAGAGGAACCTGTAGCCCTGATCTTGCATGTGTTGACACTTTTGAGATCTGTTCACCTCTCCTGGGTCACCTCTAGTTTAATTGAGAACAATTGTCTACATCCTTTGCTAACAATTTTTGGAAGCACATTTATGTGCTGTGTCAAGAAATATTTCCTTTTGTCCATCCTGAGCCCATGACAAAATCGCTTTGCCAGGAAGGAGCCTTATGCCGCAATGGTTAAACGGCAGTACTGCGGTCAAGCCTCTGCTCACGATCTGATTTTGATCCCAACGGGCTCAGGCAGCTGGCTCAAGGTTGCCCCAACCTTCCAGCCTTCCAAGGTGGCTAAAATGAGTACCCAGCTCACTAGGGGTGGGGATGGGGTGGGGAGAGAGGGCAATGTGCACAATTGAATTGTGAACCACCCAGAGAATGCTTTAAGCACTATGAGGTGGTGTATTAGCAGCATGCTTTCCTGTACTTGTAACTCTACAGTCGTTTAAAGAGTTGTTCATGTATTGAAGACAGGAATCTCGCACCTGGTGCTTGTTTTTCTTGCAGGTGAGACGGTCTGTTCTCCCCCCTACATGACTCTATTTTCTTTTTTCAAATTCCAAAAAAATTCTCTGAAGCACCTTCTCCATATAATACTAAATAAAGATAGCACAGCGAAAAACCCCAATTTAAACCATCGTTTTGCGATCGCAAAAGCGATCGCAAAAACGTCGATGTTAAGTAGATTCATTGTTAAATGGGGTAATCGTCCAGCAGGACATGACTGTACCCAGTTCACTTGGGGTGGGGGTGGGGAGAGAGGGCAATGTGCACCATTGATTTGTGAACCACCCAGAGAATGCTTTAAGCACTATGAGGTGGTGTATTAGCAGCATGCTTTCCTGTACTTGTAACTCTACAGTCGTTTAAAGAGTTGTTCATGTATTGAAGACAGGAATCTCGCACCTGGTGCTTGTTTTTCTTGCAGGTGAGACAGTTGGTCTGTTCTCCCCCCTACATGACTCTATTTTCTTTTTTCAAATTCCAAAAAAATTCTCTGCCAGGTTTGCTTTCAGATGAAGCACCTTCTCCATATAATGCTAAATAAAGATACCCAGTCTTGTCTTTTTGAGGAGTTGCTCACAGATTAAGCTTCATTAGGTAGAACTTTACTTTTCTGCACCTGCTGTGCGTTATACTATACCCTTTCATAAGAATTTTATTTTTGATCAGATTTTGAATTGCTCTCCCCCCCCAAAGCTACGAGCTGTCTTGAATAAGCCTCACTTTCAAAGCTTGGATATGATTAGCTGCAAGAAGCATAGTTATCGGTCAGTAGCTGTTGCTTGCCAAAGAGGCCACATAATTAGTAGCTGCAAAGTTACTTTTTAATAACACGAGTGAGACTTATGTTACTTAGGTGTAATACTTAGAGCTTTCCCATGTTGTTGTGGTTTTTTTTTTGTGGAAAAAAGGGAATTTGAAGACATTTTGGAGATACTTTTGACAGAAACTTTTGAGGCACGATGTCCTAGTAGGAATCTTAATGGCAAGGGAAATATTTCTTAGTTTTTATTTCTGCAAATATTTCCAAAGTGCATTATCAGATATAGCCATAAGAGAGCACCAGAGAGTATTTCCTGGTATTTTTCTAGTTGGTTGTGCGAACTTAACTCAATGCATATGATAAATGCAACATTCCAAGTTTCCTGCATGATTTAAAACAGCAACCTGGCTACAGAGGAATAACAGAGGATGCAGTGAGCTCCTTTTAAAATGCAATATGTAACACGTAGTAGCAGTATAGAGAAAATGACATCCATTTTAACAAGACTGTCCTCAGAGCATCATTTTTCAGCAATGACCAACGCCACCCACCCCAATATGCTTGCAAGAATATCTCAGAGGCAGGAGTGGCTTTTAAGTGTGGCTGTTCTCAAGTTAGATGCTGCTTTCTTTCTGGAGCAGGTGCACCATGCAAAGAATTTTTGTGTCTGAATTGGGCTGTCAGCTCCATACCTTTTGCATTCAACGTCTGCAAGATGACCCACTTGGACTAAGTGGCTGGGAAATGGCAAAGGTCTTTTTTTTTGGTTCTTAATGTTGAGGAAAGGCATGGGAGATGCCACCTTTATCCTGGTGGTGGATTTATATTCTAGTAAAGGACTTCGGGCTGGCTGGATAATTCAGCCGTGTACGTCTCTGGCTGCAGAGCCCCAGAGGGTTGGGGCTTTGATTCCCCCACTGGGCCTCCCGAGAAGAACAGCCAGCCTGGGTGGCCTTGGGCCAGCTGCACAGGAATCCCAGAGCCGCCTCCAGAAGAAGGGAAGGGCCGACTCGTTCTCAGTACTCTCTACCTTGAAAACCCTAACAAAGGTTGCCATAATACGTCAGAACTGACTTGGTGGCGCATGACGGTTATTATTTAATAGCCTTTGGAGTAGCCTCCTTCCAAGGAAGGGGTCTCACTTTAGAACACCTGCAGAACACGCAAGGGTGCCCAGGGCTCCCCAGGAAGGCCTCTGGAGCCTTTTCTTGTGCACCTCAGCACCTTAATAGTGAATTATCTGAAGGACTTTGGACTGGGAGAATCGCATCCTGCTCTGCTTCCCTCACTGGTCTGTCTTCCGCTTTGTAATCTGGCAAGGGGTCTTCCCCCCCTTTTTTTAACATATGTTTTTTTCACAGTGTCGTTTTGGCTTTGATACTGTAGGTTTTTCTTGCTCACATTTCTGGAGGAACCTAGATATACGGCTGTTTAGATGTGTGTCTGTCCTGTTCTCCCCCCATCCCGGTCGCGACAGCATGATGATGTGAAGGCATTTAACTAGGATGTTTGGAATAACACCGGCAGACATCGACTCCCTTGGCCAGGCTGGGAGCATAGATCAGAGGAGCTGGAAAAAGAGCAGATAGCATTGTTCCCAGTCCGCAAAACCAGAGGCAGGTGGGGAGAGCAAAGGTTATCTCTTCAAACTCATGGCTCGAAGAAGCAGCTGCCTGCCTGCTGGACTCCGAAGGCTGCCCTCTGCACGGCGTATGCTGAAAGCAGGTGTGTCACAAGAAGAAGCATCTGTAGCTCAAACAAGCTCAGGAGGGTGCAAGACAGAAGCACAATTCTTTCCATTCAAATATGATTCCGTCAAGTCATCAGGGTGCGCCTGCAGGTCTGTGAAACTCTAGCCTTGCTGTGGCAACAGATTCCGGTTCTACCCTGCATTTCTGAATAATTGGGGGAAAAAACAAGCAAGGTTCAGAGTTTTGGCTTCTTGAGAATCTCACCGTTTGCTTATGGGGGCCAAAAACGGACAAGCGAGTTTCAGACCTTTGTGGCTGCATTTGACCACATGAGCCGCTCCCACCGGAACCTCAGAACGCAGAAAGGCAACTGATTCTGATTTCTCTGGGTCAAGACTGTGTGCCCTGCCTTTCCCCCGGAAGCTGTGCTTAGCAAAAGTAGAACAACTTTTTTTGGAAAGAAGCAAGGCCGTGGAAGTATACATGAGTTTGTACAAGAGCTGTAATGGAGTCTGAAGATTTCCTCCTTTTTAGAATAGTCCACTGAGAAAGTGGGCCTGATCTAAGCTCCTTTCTTGTGTTGTGAGTTGGGTGGCTTTGTGTATGTGTGTGTGTGTGTGTGAGAGAGAGAGCGAGAGCATGAGAAAGAACTTAATCATTCTGCAGACTGTATGCATAGCAACCTTTCTAAACTTGGTGCCCTTCAGACGCATTAGATTGCAACCTCCATCATCCCCAAGGCAGTATCGTCAATTTGGAGGGGACCGTGTTGAAGGTGGAGAACCTTGGTCTGAAGGCTCTGATAGGGGTCTGTGGTCTCCATAAGAGAAGATCTCATGATCCATAGGATCCCCACTAGTTCTGCGGCTCTCACCCTTTTTGGGGCATAGATGGGCTCGAGCATCTCCCCTGAGAACCGGGCGCCCCCGTCAGCCCCAAGGCCGGGTTTAATTCCAGAGACTGCATTTCAAGGATGGGTAGATCACAAAGCAAAAGCATGGTGTTCAAAAGAGCACCGTTGTTTACCTTAAAAGCTTTTGCACCGGGAGCAAGCGGTGTCTTAGAAGAAATCCTTCTGCCTTTTAAATTACAAGATCGTAATTTAAAAGATGGGGAACAATGAAACAATAAGGGATATGACCTTCTGGGAAAGCCCAGATTTGAGCCCAGAAGGACTGGATTTGGATCCAGGATCGTTGGTTTCTTACCTCTCACCTACCCGGTGTACCTTGTGAGCCTGCGGTTGACAGAAGCACGATGGAGGTTCCTCTATTACTGCCCTTTCGTTAGTCTCATCTGATGCTATGTTATCCTTTGTTTTGTTGCATCCAGACGCAAATTATGTGGAGATCCAGAACCATTTCATCGCTGCCCGGCCTCACCTCCCCGTCATGTTTATCGCAACCCCAAGAGATCAACGTAGCTCGCTGTGGACCAAGGACAAGCCTTCAGCCCAGGTGAGCTGAACCTCCTCTGCCTTTGTGTGCTAGTTACCTAGACAGATTAAATATTCCCTCCTTAACCTCTGCTTGTGGTGGCGCTGAGGGTTAAACCGCAGAAGCCTCTGTGCTGCAAGGTCAGAAGACCTGCTGTCGTAAGATCGAATCCACACGACGGAGGGAGCTCCCGTCACTTGTCCCTGCTCCTGCCAACCGAGCCGTTTGAAAGCATGTAAAAACGTGAGTAGATAAATAGGTACCACCTCAGTGGGAAGGTCACGGCGTTCCGTGTCTAGTCGCACTGGCCACATGACCACGGAAACTGTCTTCGGACAAACGCTGGCTCTACGGCTTGGAAATGGGGATGAGCACCGCACCCTAGAGTCGGACACGACTGGACAAATTGTCAAGGGGAACCTTTACCTTACCTCTGCTTGATTTTCTCCCATTGCCTCTGGGACATCCCAGCCTTCTGCCCCCTTTAATGAAACCAAACAGGTACGGGGTGTCCTTGTGTGGTTTGCTATAACATGATTGTTGCTGTTGGCTGTCCAGAGGTGGGTGAGATGCTGGATTTGTTACCCTGGCTTCAGATTCCAGGTGGGGTTTCTTTGCCAATGGTAGCTTCAACTAGAGAATCGTACCGTCTGGTCCTTTTTTTCTCATCCTTCAGTGTAATGTTAAAGGTGTCCTTCTCCCCCATGTGTACTGCTTCAGACTATAGTTAGGGTTTCACACGACTGAATCCCCTCCCTTACAAAACTTTCCGTGGAAAGCTACCAGAGCAAATGTTTGGATCCAGCATTCCTTGATTTTATTTAAGGTTTTAACAACTTATTTTACCTCCTCCCAGGTGTTTGGAAGGTGGAGAGTGCAACTCATATTTTGAAAAATAAGGTTTTTTGTGTTATTGTTATCAGAATGCATACCTCATGGCATGCATAACATTCAGTTCCTAAAATAACAAATCCATGAGGTGAGATTAAGGGATTTCACAGAGTATCTGTTCACCATGAATAAACTGAGAAAGTCTTTCCCTCAAACAGCATGGAGAACCATCCTCTTCCTTTGGGTTTAGAATGTGTCTAAATGGGTACGATGTTCTGTCAACGTGTGTGCCATTCCCACTTCCTCATAAATCCGGCGTTTGAGCAGTTAGCTTTTCCATTAAGTCCTATGTACCAAATTTTGGAAGGCCGAGCAGCGAAGCAGAAAATTGAGATATCAGCTCTTCATGTAATAAATTTGCTTTTTCTCCTTGTCAGCAAACCGAGGAAGAAGAATCTAATTGGTTTTTTATTTTTAATTCATTTCCCCCATTCTCAGGAAGTCTGAGTATACCTTTGCACCTATTAATGTATGGTCTTGTCTTGACTATCACCTTTAGGTACTCTCTGTAAACACTACATTATTTAGCTAAAGGTAAAGGTTCCCGTTGACATTTAGTCCAGTCGTGTCCAACTCTAGGGCGCGGTGCTCATCTCCATTTCCAAGCCATAGAGCCAGTGTGTTGTCCATAGACAGTTTCCGTGGTCACGTGGCCAGTGTGTCTAGACACGGAACATCATGACCTTCCCACCATGGTGATACCTATTTACCGACTCGCATTTTTACATGCTTTTGAACAGCTAGGTTGGCAGGAACTGGGACAAGTGACGGGAGCTCCCTCCGTCATGTGGATTCGATCTTACGACTGCTGGTCTTCTGACCTTGCAGCACAGAGGCTTCTGCGGCTTAACCCACCACGTCCTGTACATTATTTAGTTTCCCTTTAATTTAAAAAAACCACAACTGCCTTTCTCTTTCTGCTCTCCCTCCACCCTTCAGATCTTACAGCGCCTTCTTGTGTTGGCCTTGGAGTCTCTTCGGGCTTTGGAACGGCAGCTCATGGACCCTCTGGGAAGCCAGGATGTGAAGGTACAAGGAGGCTCATTTATATTTAGTGCAGTGGTTCTCAACTTTGGGAAAGCCAGATGTTCTTGGACTGCAACTCCCAAAAATCCTGGCCAGTGCACAGCTCATGGTGAAGGCAGCTGGGAGTTTTAGTCCAAGAACATCTGGTCACCTGAGGTTGGGAAGAACTGATTTAGTGGGGAAGGTGACCAGAACATGCCTGAGGTTCTGTTTATAAAACTGGATGTTCTCATTCTTTTTTTAACGGAACAGAACAAACTTTATTCCTTAAAACCCTACGTAATCACAATAGATCAATAGCAATGCAAAACATATATAGCACTAATGTAGCATATTGACACATAAATATCAGATGGCATCGCTTCCCTCCTTTCTGAAGACGTTTGATGCTTGGCTCGTATTTTCTTGGCTGCCAAAGCAAATTTGGCTACTTTATAGGCAGTGGGTACATCCGTACCTATAAGCAACGTCCAGAGTGGAGCCGGGGGGGGGGGGACTCTGTTACACAGAGGTCTGAGGGTACCAGCAAGGAATTGACATCTGGGGTGCTCATACGAAGGGGCAATGTGAGAAATAGTGGGAAACATCTTCAGTCTCTCCTGATCCACAAATACTGAACCTTTGATGAAATGGGACATTATCATATTAGCTGATGGCATACGCTTGAAAATGCAAAGCTGTGGATGCTTTTTGTCAAGGAGATGTACAAAATAATTATCCAAAAAAACCCAAACAGCTTGACAGTGACGACCCCCAGCTTCCCAAATGTGTCACTCCAGCTGTAGCCCTTTTTTGGTGGGGCTTACCCTCCCACTTGTTTTATGAATGTTTGGAGGCCTTATGACTCAGCTGTCAGCATCTGTTGAGATGTGTAGATGGCATCTGCTCTTGTGTCAAGGGGGAGCTGCTGTATAGCATCTGACATTTGGCTTGTGTCTCTCAGGAGAGCTGGCCAGAGCACAGCAGGGTGGTGGTTTTAGTTCCCCCTTTTGTCTAGCAAGCAAAATTCATACTCAGATGTTCGAGAATCGGTCATAAGGTTCCCAAGCTGGTACTCCCCAAGAGAGAGTGCGTGAATTCTGTGTGATCGAGAATATAACGGCAAGAGGTCTCAGGGATATATATATATATTGCTGGCATCTCATAGCAAAAGTTTCATCCCTGTACTTGAATGTGCAAGAGCGAATTGAATTTGATTAGAAGCTAAAAGAAACCAAAATATCCAGAAGTAAAAACAAAATATTGTTATGCAGTAATTTTTCTTAGCACTATGAAAATGAATGATGGGCCCGAACCAACATTTTGCTGGTTCGTGCCGGTTCGTTTACCAGACAAACAGGTGCTTGATGGTTTCCAGCCCTGCCTCCCCCAGCAGATGCCCGCTCAGAGGCTGGGCCTGGAGGAGGCAGGGCAGGGAAGCTAAGGTGCTGCCTCTGAGTGGGTGCGGGAACCACCAAGCGCCTGTTCGGTTGGTAAACGAACCAGCACAAACCACCAACATAGGGGTTCGTGCCCCAGGCGTGGGAACCACCAAGCGCCTGGTAAACGAACCAACACAAACCACCAACATAGGGGTTCGTGCCCGTCTCTAATTAAAATGTTATGAACATGACATGGGCTTCTGAGTACTCCAGGAAAATCGTCTTGTCACAACAGCAGCAAAATTTAAGGGAACAGGAAAAGTGCAAAATGTTCAAAGGTGGGACTGGATACGTCGGCTGTTGTGCGTCTACAGGAGGTTGAATGCCGGCGTGGTCGGATCCATGCGAAGAACGAGTGTTGGAAGTGTCCTTTATTAGTGTGAGGTTGCTGCCGTGTCTCTTTCTCTCATTGATCAAAGGGATGGCAGAAGCTTTTGAACATGTTTGAACAGGCGCTTTCTGTGTCATCCCATAATTTTTGTGCCATCGTGCCTAACACAGGGAGTTTGTGCCACTTTTTTTTTTAAACTTGTATACCGCCCCATAGCGCTTCAAGCACTCTCCGGGCGGTTTACAATTTAATTATACAGGCTACACATTGCCCCCCCCCCCCAGCAAGCTGAGCACACCATTTATTGACCTTGGAAGGATAGAAGGCTGAGTCAACCTTGAGCCGGCTACTTGGGATTTGAACCCCAGGTCGTGAGCACAGTTTTAGCTGCAGTACAGCGGTTTAACCACTGCGCCACGAGGCACTTCTGCAACTCTTTAGTGACAATAATCAAGGGTGTTTTCCAAGTCTGTTTTTTGTTTAGTTCTGAATGTTGCCCCTGACCTTTGACCCCCCCCCCCATATGACTACCGTTAAGCCAGTTTGCAGGGGGGAGAATAATCAAGGATGTTATCCAAGTCTGTTGTTTAGTTCTGAAAGTTGCCCCTGACCTTTGACCCCCCCATATGACTGCCATTAAGCCAGTTTGCAGGGGGGACACTTATAAACAACTTACTGAGCCATGGTTTAGGATTCTAAGGCAGCGATTAAAGTCTGTAAAGGTGGACAAAGAGCACCAAAGTTCAAGAAGAAAAAAGGCAGTAGGCCTGATGCTGAATCCAAAAATGGATTGTTTACAAAAAAAACTGGCTTGATTCAGCGTGAAATGCCCCATTCCAGGAGCTGACACGTTTTGCAGACACACTTTCTTTATTGATTTGATTTCTATCCCACCCATCTGACCAGAGTCTCTTTGAGGGGTTCACAGACGAGAACAATTACAAAAACAAACATGCCATGAATGACCAAGGACGTTAAATGAAATCAATAAATTAAACTGAAGAAAACCCTGTGCCAAACACGCAGAACCTTCCGGCTGTCTTGCAATTAAAAATAAATAAATAAATCTGAAACTCCCCCTGTTTCGAACCCTCTGGGACCTCACACTCGCTCTGACCTCTTGGAGCAGACTGATCCCTCTGGGTTCCTCTGTTCAGATGTAGACATAATCCGAGCAGCCACCACGTTTCTTGAAATGTTTTCCACGGGAGAGACTGCCTTTTCTCAGCTCTGGCTCTTTCTCGGTGTCTCCTAGAGATTTAAGTGACCCTCATCTGCTGGGCGGGTCCTTAAAGCAGTTGAGTCCCACGCTTGGAGTCAACGGGGCAAGGCCAGGTTCCTTCAACCACCTACAGAATTGGCTGGGCTTTGAGGCCCAAATATCGGTGCTGGAGGGGGGGGATCACTTTGCAGGAAGGAACAAGGCTGGTCAGAAGGACTTGGCTTCTGGCCGTGCTTTGGGGAAGCGCATGGCGTTGTGTTCCGTTCTCAGTGGCACTTCTGGGTCTCCCTCCCTGCAGATGGCCTTCCGGCCGCCTTTAGATCTGTACGACGTCCTGATCCACTTGAGACCCAAGCAGATCCCGAGGCACTTGGAGGCGGTGGACAGGCCCGTCAAGTCCTTCAGCCGGGGAACGTTGAAGGATGATGTTGCGGTGAAGGCCCTTTCGTTCCCGGTGGTGGATTACGACCCGGTGCAGAACTACCTCCGGGAGCTGCGGGTAAGTGTGGTGGCACTTGAGAACTGTGGTGGTAGGAGCTAACTCTCAGCGAATTCGGGGTGAGGTTCTTCCTCCTCTTCTTCTTTCTATAGGCTTTTTAAAATGTTCTCCTGTTAGCCACCCAGATTGTGGCTAATCTTAAAGTGAGATTAAAATACTGTATGAATGAGTGAGTGAATGAATGAATGAATGATGAATGAGTGAGTGAGTGAATGAATGACTGAATGAGTCAATGAGTGAATGAATGAATGAATGGATGAATGAAAGTGGGGCATTGAGCAAAATGTTGCCATTGAGCAAAATGTTGCATCTAAGGATGCTCGGTTGCATTTCCCCACCTACCTGGCTTTCTAGGATACCTTCCCACCTGTCAGTGTTCAGTGGATGCTAACCATGCTCTGTGTTCTTTGGGTTGTTTTCTCTCTCTCTCTCTCCTGGGAAAGGAGTGACTGGCTTTTTTAAATGCAGACCTTGCGGCAGAAATGTTTGACTTCTCAATATAAAATCCGACCTTGCCGATGTTCGGGGCTCAAGAGCCAAGGGCCTCGCACATGACCCAATATTTGAACTATTTACTCTAAGCCCCAGTTATATACCATCTCGGCTTGTTGATGAGTTCTGGCGAATTCCAGCAAGGATGTTAAGCAACCCAGAGCTTTGTTTTCTGTGTGTGGATCTTATAGATTTTTTTATTTTTCTGTGGGGGCTCTGAAGAACTCGATACCATCCCTTTTGGGTGGACGTGAGTTGTTCTTCCTATACAAGCATCCACATCCAGTGCTTAAATATAAGAAACATGGGGAATGCTTGCTATTTAAGTAGGGGGATGTTTGGTTTGTAGGCCGGCCAGCCGGCTAGCTTTGGGGACTCTTCTTCAAAAACCACGGCATGATTCAGAAGCTCTTGAAATGGACCCATCCGGGTGTCTTGAGATCAAGGTGAAGCGCTCCCCGGGGGGTGGGGGCAGAGGAGGCCGATCTGGATGGAACCTGTTCTCACTCGTGGCGAAAGGCGGAGAGTGACGGCTTGCAAAGGCTCTCCCATGTCATTGGGTTCCCTCCGTTCCTCTGTGGCAGAACAGGGGGTTTGCCTTCCTTTGTGTCCGTCGATTCCCTCCACCTCCTTCCTGGAGCGTTTGGTGGCAACCACTCTGTAGCAACGTTGTGGTTTGCCTTTAGCAATCTATTTTACACTTTAAAAACCCCCACATAAGTCCTTCCTAAAAGTGACACGAAGGCTCACCTACCCTCCCTGCCCTGGGAAGGATCATCTTATGCTGTGGAATGCTTCCTTAATATCTGTCCAGGATCCCGTCCCTCCCACTTGCTGAATTCTTCCCTGTTAAAATTCTGTGCAGCTATATTTTTCTCTCTCTCTCCTCCGGTCCTCCGTTTGCCCTCTCCCTGTAAACAATAAGCTCTCAGAGGACAGGGAAATGCCACGTGGACATGGGAATTGCTTTACTGAAACGGCAGAGGACGACTGGCTAATTATGAGTTGCTTGGTGTCCAGGTGTTGCTTGCTTCTAGCCACTCAAGCCCAGCCACGATAATGCTATGTCCAGACTGTATTGCCCTGTGGGGGTTGGACTTGATGGCCCTCTAGTCCCCTTCCAAATCCGTTATTCTATGATTCTTAATCCACCCGCACCTTCCACCCACCCCCAAAGATTGATATGGCAAGTGGTGTGTCTTTGACGGAGAGCCACCCTGTGCTAGAAATGTCTTTGCAAGCATCGGTCAATTTCAGTCTCTCCGTCTGACCTTGTCTCCCTTTTTCCCGTAGCAGCAAAGGCCAAACAAACATGACCAGGCAAAGGGTTTAGGACATTGGGGCTCCAGGGCCTCGTTATCCCTTCCAGACAAGAATGCAAAATGGCTGGTTTTTGCTGCACATGCCCTGACGGGCCTCCAGTTGGTCGTAAGGCCCATTGGGGTTCTTGTTGGTGGGATTCTGCACCATCTCCTCCGTCCAAGGATCTGAAAGAAATCACACACACACATATTTATTTTATTTTCCACATTCTCTGCTTGTCTTGGGCTGTCATGTAAGGATGTGTCCCTGGAGACCAAGATCATCCACACTGTTGTATTTCCAGCCACCCTGTCTTGGACAGGAGAAAATTTTTTTTTTTTTTATTTGAAAATAGGGTTCTGGAGGAGAGCTTTGGAAAAAAAAATCCTGGACTGCCCGTAAGACAAACAATTGGGGCCTAAATCAAATCAGTTCTAAACTATCTCTGGTGGCAAAAATGCTGAAGCTGTCCTCCTTTTGGCACTTCCTGAGAAGGTGAGATTCTGTGGGAAAGAGCATCATGCTGGGAAAGGTGGAAGGCAGCAGGAGAAGAGGAAGACCAGATACGAGATGGATTCTCTCTCTAAAGGAAGCCACCAGATTGCGTTTGCAAGAGAGCTGAGCAAGGCTGTTGAGGACAGGACATGTCGGAGAGCGCTCATTCATGGGTTGAGGGCAACTCTGCAGTAAATATCAAAAACAACATGTGTGTCGGAAATGTTGGGAGTTGTGGATCAGTCCATCTGCAGGACACTAAAATGGGCCATCTACCAATGATCCAGAACTGTTAGAGTCCTGTTTCTATTTAAAGTTGCAGGTCTTGACTGTGACGTGTTATTTCCAGTTCACGTTACGGGTGGCACGTTGGACCCATGAATTGGTTTGCAGTCGGCAGCTGCCGAAATCTTATCTGTGGCTAAGAGGCTGGAGACGAGGAGTCTGCGTTCAGAGATGAACCTTCAGTTTTTCACGTCTCTAAGCAAAAAAAAACAAAACAAAACAAAAAAACCTTAGAGATACTGGTAGATTTTTACCTTTGGCTACATCCTTGATAAGGACGGAGCTTCCCTTGTTTTTGAACAGTCACATTCCTGCCAAAAATGGAGGGTTGAGGAGGGACGGATCTCATTTTAATTTGATGACATTTCAAAGGTATTCCTGTTCACCACCCATTCATTCTTTGCCATTTTATGGGCAATCGAGAAGACCCGATTTCTGGTGGATGCTTTTCTGGCCTCCCTCAGTGTGGCAACCCAGAAGCGCATGGCCTGGGAGGATCTGGTGGCGTGGGTTGATGTTCTCGGACAAATGATGGAGGACTCAAAGGTATTCCTTGAAGGGCTTTATAAGTAAGAACCAAGACCTGGTTCTTCAAAAGTGTTTAGAAGAAAGGGGACGGTGACACTCCATCAGCACTGTCACCACCTTTCCTACAAGGCGTATTATACCACCCAGCTAAGAGTCAAATGAAAGCAAATAGAGTACAGTAATATAATAAAAATAATAAGCCATAAATTACATATAGGGATAAGATTGAATCAAGTCAGAACCGAAGAGCCCCAGGCCATAGCTGGATGGGCAGCACACATTGAACTGATTTGTGTGAGATGCTCTTGAGAGCCTCTGTCAAGGTCATTGTTTTAAGCATCCTCTTAGAGGTTGGGAGGGAGGGAGGGAAGGGACTGGCGCAGCTCAACCGGGAGCTCTTTCCAAATGGCTGGGGCCACCGCCGAGAAGACCCGATTTCTGGTGGATGCTTTTCTGGCCTCCCTCAGTGTGGCAACCCAGAAGCGCATGGCCTGGGAGGATCTGGTGGCGTGGGTTGATGTTCTCGGACAAAGGATGGAGGACTCAAAGGTATTCCGTGAAGGGCTTTATAAGTAAGAACCAAGACATGGTTCTTTAAAAGTGTTTAGAAGAAAGAGGATGGTGACACTCCCATCAGCACTGTCACCATCTTTCCTACAAGGCGTAGGGGCCTGGCTACTAAGCTGGGTGCTTTTAAAAGTTTAAATAAATAAAAATAAATGAATCCCAGGGAATTAGATTTCACGGGCCATCCCCTGACAAGATGAACCCAAGCCATGGGATTAATAAATGAGACCAACTCATCGTGTTGCAACCACTGAGCTAGCTGCGAAATGACCGTCACATCTTTTCAGAGCTTAGAAATAACCAGTTAAAAATTACCTGTAACTAGTTATTACTTCTGTCTTGTGAGTGTAACCGTGCTGTATTTCAAAGGTGATGAGACAAGTAGGAAGGTAGTTAGCTTTTCCTAGCCCCTTTTGAAAGTTAGTTTTCCAAGCCATTCTTAGAGCTGTTTGAATAGGAAACAGTGAGGTTTTATACAATTCTGTTATCTGTCGTAAGATGAGAAAGAGGGGGGAAAAGCAAAGCAAACAAGGAGCACAGTGTGTTGAGTTATTTTTTTTTCCAGCATGGCATCCAGGAACAACAACAGGTTCAAACTATAATAATAAGAATGATTTTGGAGCAATGTATCACTCTCTTAATCGGAGATAGTGCCTGTCCTTCAACCCCGTCCCTTATATGTTGTTGTTCTCCGCAGCAAGCTTTCAGTGACCTTGCCCTCTTCTTCTACGACAAGCACGGAGGAGAGGTGATCGGAGTCCTCTGGAAACCTTCAGCCTTTGAGCCGCAGCCTTTCAAGGTGAGCGCTCTCAGCTCTGGGATTGAGGGACCCCATTAGGAGCCGTACCATTCCTCTGTATCCAAAGAGCTGTAGAGCAAAGGGAGGCAAGGCGGTTCCCGTAGGGAAGGGATGCTGTTTTTCAGGCCTTAGCAAAAGATGGGCTGGACCAATGCAGGTAAGGATGCAGGCTGAAAATGGAAAGATGCTCCTCCCTGGAAGAGAATCCAAGGAGGAGCATGTTTAGCCAGAAGCTGGTGGCAGGGGTGGGCAAGGCGGCTGAGAGACGGAAGGTATGTGCTGACCTTTTGGCAGGAGATGGGGAAGGAAGGGCGGAGAGCCCCTGATTCTGGAGCCCAGCCAACGGCTTCTGAAAGCCAAAAATGAAAAAGCCAAGCCGCGTTTGCTGGCGCTTTGGCACAGTCGCTGCCGAAGTGGAGAAAGCACACTTTGGGAGTAAGAGGATTCAGGCGACGGCACGGCTGCGGTATTCCTCCCGCTCGGATTGCGGAACACAGAACCTTTAGTGTAAGAATTTCACCAGCAGACGTGGGGAAAATTAAGATCTGCTTTGTGTTGCTCCCTTGCAGGTGGCTTTTGCAAAGCAAGTTCCAAAACAATCCCCCACCGACTTGAGGATTTTTAACCCGTTGTGCATTTTGAGTGCCTCCTGCACATCGGCACATTTATAGGTTAGCAAAGAGGCAGTTTGTAAACTTTTCAAGGAATGGCAAGGTCTGCTCTCAAATGGGTCAATGCTACTGAGACTGGCCAGCCGAGCGGCCCTTGAAAGGGTAGTCAAGTCCCCGTTTCTGAGCTTCTTTCAGATACACACGGCAAGCCAATGTTAAAGAAAAATCTTTATTATAGTTCGGTGGCTGCACTGACAGGCAGTGTTTTGCTGTGATGTAAAAACAGCCAGATAGGGATGTGGTGGCGCTGCGGGTTAAACCACAGAAGCCTTTGTGCTGCAAGGTCGGAAGACCAGCAATCGTAAGATCAAATCCACACAATGGAGTGAGCTCCCGTCGCTTCTCCCAGCTCCTGCCAACCTAGCCGTTCGAAAGCATGCAAAAATGCAAGTCGATAAATAGGTACCACCACGGTGTTCCGTGTCTAGTTGCGCTGGCAAGGTGACCACGGAAACGGTCTTCGGACAAAACACCAGCTCTACGGCTTCGAAACGGGAAGAGCACCACGCCCTAGAGTCGGACACAACTGGCCTAAAGGTCAAGGGCAACCTTTACTTTAAAAACAGCCAAGCTCCATAAGGCCAGATTGCTGGTCTTTCTTGATTGGCAAGGGGTGTCACGATCCACCTTCCTTGCTCCTTCTGAGCTTAATCACAACTTTCCTAATAATTGCGGGGTGTCTTTTCCAAAGCAGCAGTATTGTTGTTGTTGCTTATCTCTGTTGTAATGCAGAGTATTGGGAGCCCCTCAGTACATGACCTTGGAATCATAGTTTGGGTTCTAAACTGTGATGAGTCCGAAATGTGACTGAGGGGCTGAAATCTTGTCGCTGAGCACAGTCAGAAGTAGACCCATTTGAATCAGTGGGATCTAAGGAGGAAGAGACTCGGCAACTGGTTCAGTTGGACCTAGGTCAAGGTCAAGGTTCTGCTTGACAATTTGTCCAGTTGTGTCTGATTCTAGGGCGCGGTGCTCATCCCCGTCTCCAAGCTGTAGAGCCATGGTTTGTCCGAAGACAAGTTGTCCAGTTGTGTCTGATTCTAGGGCGCGGTGCTCATCCCCGTCTCCAAGCCGTAGAGTCATGGTTTGTCCGAAGACAAGTTTCCGTGGTTATGTGGCCAGCACGACTAAACACGGAATGCCGTTACTTTCCCACCAAGGTGGTATCTATCTACACGCATTTACATGCTTTCGAACGGCTAGGTTGGCAGGAGCTGGGACAAGTGAGGGAAGCTCCCTCCGTTGCGTGGATTCGATCTTACGACGGCTGTTCTTCTGACCTTGAAGCACAGAGGCTTCTGCGGTTTAACCCACAGCGCCACCACATCCCTTATTCAGTTGGACCTATTCTATGGCAGCCTACTTTGCTTCAGGACGTCAGCCGTTGGTGTCTTTGAGTTGAAGTTGAACCTCAAACTGTTTGTTTCTGTCCCTTCTGCCACAGGTGACGAGCATGAAAGGACGGATGCTGTCCTCTCTCGGCGCTGAGCCCATGACTGTTCCCAACGTGGAGGCCATTTTGGAAGATCTTGAGATCTTGGGCGAAGGACTGGTCCAGTCGGTGGAAGCTCGCACAGAGAAGTGGTCGATCTAAAACCTCATCATCGGCTGCCCCATCCAGACCATGCCTACCCATCCCGGGTCTTCCCACCCAAGAACTGGATCTTGGTCTTTTACGAGAAAGATATTTTTTTTATTACACAGAAACTTCATTCTGTCTTGTGTTCTTTTGTAGACAACTTCCCATTGAGATCACTCTGACCCCAATTAAAAAACAACAACCTCTTTTACTAGAGAAAAAAAAACTGTTAACTTTCCTTCTTTGCCTTTCAGGACCAGATAAATAATTGACAAGTTGCTCTTTATTCCTCGGGCGGAATTCTAAGGAGCGCGTCATTCCCTCCAAAAGCAGTCCAGGTATAAAAGGATGTTTTCTCTGGAACTTTTTGACACCTGTGGTGACATGTCATACAAGAGCGCCCGCTATCCAAGTCATGATCTAGTTTGAGGCAAAAGGACTGAGATACCTTATAAAGCTATCCAGACAGGTGCAATTCCTCCAAAAACAAGGATATCCTAAAGCCGATACATTCTGTGTCCCTTTCTCAAAATGGTTGGGCATTAAGGCAGAAAACCCAACCGCTACCTTGAAGCTTTCCCGTTTTGGTTAAACTCCTCCTGGACATTTTGTCAAAGTAGCGTACGGGGTTGCCCCAGCACTAATACAAGGCCCTGTGCCCTCAGTGTCTTTATTTATGGGGTATTCTTCCCCCTTTTTTCCTTGCACAGCCCAGTGCACGTGGGTTCCTGCAACCCATTTCACCTTTCCGATAACAAGGAACAGGTAAGGAGTGGGTTATTTAAATGTACACGGTGTGCAAACAGAGAAGACGCTTGTTAAACGCTTCCAAATATAATATTTTTTTAATTAACACTTATAAACTTTGGTTTTTTAAAATGGTGAACTTCATCTGGAGCAGGCATTGGCTGTAAGAGACTGGAGCCAGCCTTCCTTTATGGTGTCTCGGGGCTCTGAAACGGTAGCAGGCACAAACTTCCCCACCTTGTAAAAAGATAAAAAGGGTTGGCCTGCTGCTCCCAGGATGAATCAGCCAACATGGCCATGTGGGTGGTTCCAGGGAGCCCCCCCCCCCAAAAAATAACTTTTCTGAGCTCTAGAGTAGCCACATTGACACCTGATAATTCTAGGAATTGCACCTGAAAAAATGTTAGTTTGACAAGCTCTGGAAAAGAGAGCAAGGAGAATGAAGATGGAGTGGCATTCTGTTGGAGTTTTTGCAACCTTGCATGCGGCCTTTAGGAGTTTTGGCTTGGGGAGGGCCTTTCTGGGCTGAGGTGACTGTCAGCCTATCCAGAACTAGCCGATCAGTCCTTACCTGGCTCTGAATTCAGAGCCGTGCCTCTCTGCTGAGTGCTTTTCTCCCCTCTCTTTTGAGTCGTTTGAGGTCTGTTGTTGGAGGCAGTCAGTCTGGTTGTCAGTTTGCTGTTTGATCTGTTCAGCTGTAAGTAAAATGACACATTTTTTATTCTTTCTCTTGGAAATGTCATTGAGATTGTAAGTGCCAGTTAATGAGAAGAGGGGGTGGACTACTCTGCAGAACTTGGAAGGGATTCGGCTCTGTGAGTTCCCTGCACTTCTGCCAGGGGGCTAGCGGAATT